AGGATACAAAAAATACACACAAGGGAGAAGATACAAGTGCAGCCGCGAAGAAGACCAATTTTCAGGAAAAGAAGAAAATCAATACAGGAAATTTTAATTCTAATAATAATATACATTGTTTTAGATGCGGAGGCAATCATTTTGCCAACAAATGTAAACTAAACAGGAATATCACATGTACATCCTGTGGTGTAAAAGGTCATTTGAGAAAGGTTTGCATGAAGGATAAACAGGTAAATAATGTAGAGGAAATTTTACAAATTACATCGGAATCTACTGAGTACAGAAAGAAATATTCAATTACGTTAAAGCTTCAAAATAAATCAGTAAATTTCGAAGTTGATAGCGGTTCAGCCGTTACGCTTATAAGTTATAAGTCAGCAGTGTTACAGAAAATTGTTTGCTACACATGCTCTTCAATGTACAGATTTAAAGCTATTCTCATATTGTGAAATGCCTGTACAATTAATTGGATATATTACAGTGAACGTTCAATACAATCACCAAAAGTACGATTTGAATTGCTATGTTACAAAACTAGATAGACAACCACTATTGGGTCGCGAATGGATTAGACAGTTAAATTTGTTACAAATAAACAATATTTTACAAATTTCATCCAAAGTAGAAATAGGGTGGAATGATTTATGTAAATGTTACACTACAATTTTTAATAATGACTTTACTAAGATTAGAGGTATACAAGCCAAGCTTCAGTTGAAACCCAACGCAACACCGGTATTTATTAAAGCGCGCCGAATTCCATTTAAACTAGTACCATTAGTTGAAAAAGAAATAGATAAGTTAGTGGAAGCAGGAGTGTTAGAAAAAGTTAATACGTCACAGTGGGCTACACCGGTAGTGCCTGTTTTAAAAAGTAAACGATTCGATTATGTGGTGATTTTAAAGTCACTGTTAACCCCAACTTACAGATCGATGAATATCCTTTGCCAACGATTGATGAGTTATTATCTTCGATGGCAGGAGGAATATATTTTTCAAAAATTGATTTACGAATTTCGTACTTACAACTTGAGGTCGTACCTGAAGACAGACCACTCTTAACATTAAATACACATAAAGGTTTATACCAATGTAATCGATTACTTTACGGAATTGCATCTGCTCCAGCCATTTGGCAAAGAGAAATTGAAAAAATTTTGTGCGATATTCCAGGTGTTACTGTTTTTGTAGATGATATTAAAGTTACAGGGTTGTCATACGAGGAACATTTATATACACTAAAAACCGTTTTTGAAAGATTGAGCAAGTACAACATTAAAATTAACAAAGAAAAGAGTGAGTTTTTCAAAGAACAAATCGAATATTGCGGGTATGTTATTAATAAAGACGGTATACATAAATGCAAAAAGAAAATGGATGCCATTACAGAAATGCCTCGACCTAATAATGTTTCAGAAGTACGAGCATTCATTGGCTTTGTAAATTATTACGGAAAGTTTATAAAGAATTTAAGTACAATTCTTTATCCACTAAATCGATTATTATGCAAAAACTCTAAGTTCCATTGGTCAAAAGAATGGGAAAATAGTTTTCAACTTGCAAAAACAGAATTTCAAAGTAACGAATTTCTTGTTCATTTCAATCCAGAAAAACCAATCATAGTTGCTACAGATGCAAGCTCTTATGGTGTGGGTGCGGTTCTTTCACATGTTGAACCAGATGGTACAGAACGAGTCATACAATATGCATCACAAACATTAACAGAAACCCAAAAGAAGTATACCCAAATAGACAAGGAAGCATATGCCATCATTTTTGCAATTAAGAAATTTCACCAATATTTGTTTGGTAATACTTTTACGTTGTACACAGATCATAGACCTTTAACACAAATATTATCGCCAACAAAAAGTTTGCCATTTTACACAGCAATGAGAATGCAACACTACGCATTATTTTTGCAAGGGTTTAATTACACTATTAAATACAAAAATACAAATAATCATGGTAACGCAGATGGTTTATCAAGACTTCCAAGTAGAGCAGACACATCAAATTACGATGTAATTGATATTTTCCAAATTGATACAATTGAAACTTTACCGATTACAGCACAAAAATTAGCTGAAGAAAGTAGGAAAGATTTAGGTATTTCAAAGCTTATCACATCCTTACAAGTACAGAAAAATATTCCTAAAGATGAAAGATGGAATATAGAACAAAATGAATTTAGCATTCAGCAAGGTGTTTTAATGAGAGGACACCGAGCAGTCATTCCTAAACAGTTACGTAAATCTATATTAGACGAGATTACATGAAGGACACTTTGGGATGGCTAAGATGAAAGGGTTAGCACGAGGAATTTGTTGGTGGCCGGGTATTGATGCAGATATAGAAAATACTGCTAAAAAATGTGTTAGTTGTAACCTAGTCAGAAATAATCCCAAACAAGTAGAAAAGCATATTTGGGAACCAGCTGATCAACCGTTTCATCGTGTACACGCAGATTTTGCAGGACCTTTCATGGGTAAATATTTTTTTATTTTAGTTGATAGTTATTCAAAATATCCATTTACATACGTTGTTAATGATATCACAGCGAAAACTACAATAAAAGTTTGTAGAGAAATTTTTGCTGCATTCGGATTACCAAAAGTTTTTGTAACCGATAATGGCAGTACATTTCATTCAAGAGAGTTTCAAAACTTTTTGAAACAAAACGGAGTTAGTTCCAAATTTACAGCTCCTTACAATCCATCAACAAACGGGCAGGCGGAACGTTTTGTTCAAACTCTAAAAAAATCACTTTTGAGTACTCGATGCACTAATAATGAAATAGACCAAAATGTACAAAAAATTTTAATGAAATACAGAATTATGCCTCATAATGTTACACAAGTATCACCATCAAAATTAATGTTTGGAAGACAAATATACGTTCTCGTTTAGACAGTTTTCTTCCTGACAAAGAACAAGATCATGTAGTTAATTTTGAAAAAGAATGTGTGGAATTTCAAAGGGGTGATAGAGTCCAATGTAGGATTTATGTTGGTAAAAACAAGTGGACTTTTGGGAAAATATCCAAAAGAACAGGTAGATTACATTATGAGATTACATTGGACAATGGTAAAATATGCAGAAGACATATAAATCAGATGATGAAATGTCACAGAAACGTACCAGTACAATCCGATGTAGAATTAGATCATTTTGATTATGTAAATCCCGAATCAGACTCAAATGAACCAATTCAACCACGACAGGAAAATTTACAAGAACCTGAACATGTAACACAGAATGTAAGACCACGAAGAAATGTTAGATTTCCACAATACTTACAAGATTATGATCTTAATTAAATGTACGTTTCTTCATGGTTGTGAATTTAAGGTATTTTATTTAGCGAGGGAAGTGTTATATATATTTAAAATTACATCATAATTGCGCTGGAAAAAAAGAGTATCCTAGTTACGAAAATAGCAAGTAGAAAAATTGTCAATAAATTAAGTTTGTTCCGTTCTGTTCCATTCATATAAATCAGAATC